TATACATACTAGAAATAAATATGCTACACCATCACAAAATACAAATTGAACATTTGAATACACTAAACTGAATGAATTTGAGTACATTTAAAATGTGCGGCCTCTAAAATAAAATGTTCGAGTGGGAAGCTGCATCAGTGTGCATCAGCTGCAAAGGAACAAGTAAAGGTTAATTCCACACTTGAAAGTAGAAAAAAGAAACACAATGTTTCGATGAGGTGACACCTGAAGAAGGCACAACATCTGAAACGTTGCATTTATTCTTTCTACTTTTCAGTGTGGAATTAATGTTTAATGGCTCCATTATTGATCTAAAAAGAATTATGAACAAATCATGCTATCAAACACATGCATATAAAATCACAAGCTGCTCAATATTCATGATATTGTCTTTCTGAATGTCCTTTTCTCAATATAGCACATTAAATATGTAGTTAGTTTAAGTGTATCCAATGTAATTGCAATATATTGGTTACATTCAAAATATAATTTTCACATGAGACTGAACGGAATACAGTTTATTCTCCAGGTACTACAAGGTCTAGTGACATAGGGCTCTATATTCAAATCACTTAGCCACTTAAATCCCCATAGGAAGCAAAGAAAATTTAAGTGCTTAAGTCTCTTGAATATAGAGCCCATACAAGTGCAACCTCTTATGAGATTACACTTGCAGCTATTCCAAAAATAGGTAAATCAGAGTCACATGAAGAGCCTTTCAATTGATATGTTGCATGATGTGATTCACAAAATGGATAGATGAAAGCAAAAGTTATTCATCTGAAGAATCTCCCATGATGTGATGTGTTGTATTGAACTGGCTAGACAAAGAAAACCATGTAAGATTGCTGAAAGTGGAGCATACAAAATAATGACTGACAAGCACACTTTATAGACAGCACTAATTAAAAAAGAACTTCTCAAACTATAGCAGTCACATCACGTAAATGAAAACACGGTGAGCAAAGAAAGTCTTTTTAGAATCATACATATGGAAACTAATTAAACAGATTGCAAGTTTAATCCCAATTACCAAAACTAACTGAAACTACAGTCTGTGTAGTGTCTGTAGCCAGCTATCACCACTCCTTCCACTCCTGCAAATAATTAAAAAAACAGAAATAAAATGTGAAAAAAGAATACCAGAGACTGTTTTAATTTCATTTACTACCTACAGTGGATATACGGAAATAGCAACATGAGGGTGTGTGGGACTTGTTTGCTTGTTCACTGTTCTGCTCAGGTATAGTATAAGCACAAAATCAATAACTCATGTTTAAACAACACCTGGGATCTCTCGGCTCATAGCTACATTTTTCTGTACCTTTGGCACTGTATAGCACTATTGTTTCCAATTATCAATTAACTGTTACAGCAATCTGTGTATTGTATTTGCAGTAAACATGAAAGACATACCATGCTTTTTGCTTCCACTGTCTTTACACGCTCGATATTTCTTAGTGGTTACTTTTTATGTTGTTGTTTTAATTTTGTAACACACTGCAAGCTATACTGTGCTTGTCTTATTGCAATTTTATTTATTTTAGTCTATTTTAGCTATGTGTTAACATACTTATTGTATTTAAACTTAATATATGCCTAATATTTTGTATTCCGTGCAATTTTTGTGCATTTTGTACATCACCCTAGATAAGGGGATCTTCTAAGCAAGTCAATACTAATAACAAAGTTTTCAGTAAAGGGACTTACAGGTGACATTTTTCCCAATATGTTAATGACAGGGCCAGACTACATATCAATTACTAGGGAAGAACAATAAATTCAGGAACTCCTACATAGCCCATAAAGATATGCGATGAGCTTGAGAGGAGAACGGAGAAATGACAGCACAACTAGCACGCAAATAGCAGGAACATGCTGTTCTAGGAGCACTATACTGTATATGATGGTGAGAAATGGATTAGCAAGGTTTTTCCACCCTGGGACAAAACTGAGAATTCAATGAAAGAATTAAGACATACAATAAACTATGTTGTAGAAACTGTATGTATAAAAAAGTAAAGACAAAGGGTATTTTTCTCCTTTCTCCCCTCCTTTCTTAATGCTAGCCAAGAAAAGTAAGGGGAAAGGAAACGGAATTATAAAGTAAGCTTCCTACTCTTTTCTTCACCTTTTGTTATTCGCCTTCTCAAAAGATCTTCACCGAAAACACAAAACAGTGAAGCAAAAACACTGTCATTTGTTCTTACTGATGGAGTTTTCCCCTTTATCAACCCAGGTGATTCAGAAATTCAGATTGGAAAATAGCACAAGAGGAAACAGGAGCTTCATTTTTAACTTTTTTTCTCGAGTTCTCCAAGGTGGTAATGTGACACTGAAGGTAACAGAAGCCACTGACTAGAAAGATGTTAATCCTGACAAACTGCCAGAGCATTAGCCTGAGCCGCAGCTAGATTGAATTCTGCATCCCAGGGGACAATGGGCAACACTGGTGGTAGCGCTCCATCTTTTTGAGTGCCCCTTAGAGACAGCTGCCTTCGCTGAAAATTGAACCTCTCAGTGAAGAACAAGAGCACCCTCTATTGCAGCCCAACAAAATTACATTCTGAGTGGGGGCATGTCATCAGGTCCTGGACTTTTGATGTACTGTAGGTCGTGAATTTTGAGGTTTAGAAAAGTAATAACAAAATAAAAGTTTGTTTAGAGAACGGGAAAACTCTGACAAACACACCAGCCTGTGAATTTGTATATGTGTGTTTAAATGGTCTCAGTTAAAAACTACTCCCATCTATTCTAAATGTGTATATGGTTTAACATTTATTTTGTCACATTCAAAGACATTTTAAGGACTAGTCTTAATGCTTAAAGTGAGGCAAGCATTACAAAGTTGTGTGTATAGTCAAATGGCCTACACCCATTTTAATTCATTCACACACATTACAAAATATAGAACCTCTTTTATTCCTCAGTTACTTTTTTACACTTGTAAGACTTTATACTTTAATTTGGGTGATAGATATTATATGTATACTTTTTATACATAACTTCATTTTTCAAGGGTGATCGGTTATACTGTTATACTGTACAACCTGTGCCCTGTGCATGAAAAACTGCATCAGAAAACAGCACAAAACGAAAATTACATGAAGACAACAACATTGCACATTGCTATTTTATCATTAGCCTATGGTGCCACATACTTGAAAACAGTCTTTAAAAGCCAGGGGTGTCTTTAAAATTTGAATCCTCCTTTTCTTGTCTGTTTTTTATGCAGTCAAGTCACACAAAGGCCCATCGGACCGAGGTAATGACTTGAGAGAAATCAGCCTTTCAAGTGAGTCATTTCCCATAGCTAAAACCATGGTCTCTTAAGTATCTTTCATCAAAAACTAGAAATCAGACAAGGGAAAACCAGAGCTAAAGATATCCAAAAAACTGTCAAACTGAAGGTATATTTAAAGAGAAATGTATCAGCTTTTCTTAAACACCTGTACTTTTCAACATTCTCTTACCTAGAAAAATGCACTTGTTTATATATGCAGTATATGATTTTGATGCTATATTCCTAAAGACAAAAAGTTAATTTATTTATATGATTTTCAGTTTTCAATGTCGATTCTAAAATGTGATTCTCTTAGATTTTACTGAAATGTTTTTTTTTTTACCCTGTATTATTCTTAACATATATAGCCCGACAGGAGAGAACCGCATGACTTAATTAAGCAATGGTCTTGCATTTGCAATTTAGCTGCCATTTGAAAGTTAGTTCTTCAAACGTGCAACCTTGACCAGTGAGAATGAGAAAAGAGTTTAATGCAACCCTTCGCTTCAATGTTTTTAAACGCAAACACACTTTGCCGTTCGATTAAATAAACCTACAAGGTGTGCCACAGTGTGTATCTACTGTACATCTGATTTGGAGTGCGGCAGCGTATGTGCGAAACATCTCAAGGTGATACTGGTGTTGCGCATATTACAATTTTAACTTGTATATATCATATTAGCATTTCCTTAGTTTAATCTCCGTTAGTAAGATATCTTCCAGTATAACTTTGGACTTGTGCGTCGAAGACTTGCGAAGTTACAATGTATGGCAGAGTTACACTACTGCTAGAAGAAACCGGGGAGTACCACAGTATATTGTGGAGTGCATCCATACAATACAATATATAGAAAATTCACCACCAGTTCAAAGTTGCCGTACACGACATAATCTCTAAAATATATAAAATGACCAATACCACATCAACGTTTCTGAAATTGTCAGATTATTTTTTTTTCAATTAAAAAAAAAGACTATGCGTGTTCAGCAATTTAGCTGCAATGGTTCGCCCCCTTTTTATCTGGCCAAACAAGACGGAGGCATTCCTACAATCTGGGTGTTTTCGGATTCTGTAAATGCGCTTTTTAAAGATTGTAAAGTTTCTCTACAACCCGGAATCTTTAAATTCTGATGTTATTATTAAGTCTTGAATGGCTTCCACTTCTAAGGGGGGAAATCTGGTTTATTATTCTAAAATGTTGAGCAATAGAGAATCGAATTAATCAAAATGACTGAAACAGAGTATGCTAATGTATATTGTGTTTAAAAATTATTGTTTAATCTATTTCACGGTTTCAAAAAGGACACAGCGCGAAAAAGATTGCGAAGTTGCGGCACTGATGCCTCCGCACTTCACGCCAATTATGTTGCCTTGGGGCTACTTCATATTTATTGCAGTCTTGTTAAATGAAGACATCTGCAAATTACCCCTTTTCAGTATCTGTGTTTGCCGTTGTTTCTTTTCAGAAAAGTTTTCTTAGGAGTTCCCATCGCTCGCTAGAGCTTCTGGTTTACAAAAACTAGACCATTTTTTGAGTAAACCATCTTTTGCTGCGAGTACCAGTTTCAGCCCACATCTACTGGTCAAATGAATTAATAACTATACATCTATAAATGTTGCAAGGAATAAGAAATAAAAAGGGTTAACAAGAACACTTTATTCAAACAAATACAAATATAAGCTCTATGTAAAGTAGTTAAAATGAAAAGTACTTACCTTTATAAACTGCCAGATTGCGTTCTGTCACCTCTGTGTTAAAACAAGCAGTCCCATTAGCAACTACAGCTGTGACTACCTCTCTATGACACGGTAAGAAAAATCCTACACCATCAGTCTGTATTAACACTCCAGTTAACGGGCTTGTCTTCTGTGCGAGAGATGTACAGACAGATCTAGCTAAAACAAAACGGGCGAGAAGGCGCTAAAGGCGAGATAGGGCAGAGGAACAGAATTGTAGCATCCCCGATCAATCCTGTGCAGCCTTCCCTAGTACGCGTCTTCTTCTCCTCTTCTGCAAAACGAAAGGAAGCTCATTGCAATGTAATGCAAGCAGTTGTGCTCTGGCGTTGATGACTAAGTAGAGTCTGCCCCCTTTTTTTTTAACGTTTCCAGATGGAAGCCGTTTCTCATCTGTCACAAGAACCAAGCCAGCACAGAAATAATAGCTTGAATGGTTAAACTGGGTTCAGGAGGCTTCGACCAATCAGAGTATGAAGATGGAACCAGGAACCTCCCCGGCAACCCTGCACTCTTCAGCGGAGAAGCCCGTGACAAAATCTACATCTACTCAAAACATACGTTGGAGATGGGTGCGTGTTTGTTATAGTACTCTGTTCTGGAATACATAAATAAAGTCTTCCACAGTAGATCATGGGCGTAAGTCAGTTTAAGTTCTGGTCAGCATCATGTCTATTTTTTATGTTCATTTTGACGCATTCTGTGAAACAAATGTTGATGAAACAATAGGAATCAAGATCAACTAGTAAGATGTATATAGTATAGCTCTATAAAAGTGAAGTTTCTGTATGATGAGGTTAGATTTAATCTTACTGGGGGATCAAATGTTGGCGTATTAAGTAATATCAGTTACTAGCCGTCCGTTATATATTCGTAACGAGATTCTAATCATTGGGCTGTAGCCAATATATATATATATGTCTGTTATTACACAGGATCTTACAAATGGAAATATATTTCTTTGTATGACCCACAGACACATCTATTGGCTTACATCCAGTATGATGAATACCTGTCATGAAGGGACTCAAGGCTTGAATGTTAAAGAGATGCCGCACGCACAAAGCCCCATTGACTTTCCATCAGATTTCGTGCGCGCATCTACTTTAAAGTCAAGCCTTTAATTTCCAAGGGCAAAATGGAAGTGCAGCTTGAAAAAAGTGTGCTCGGGGTCTCCAGTCAGTGACCGGTTTGACCCGTCAGTACGGGGTGTCTGTTATTAACAAATGCGGTTACAATTACCAATAATTATACAGGAGACAAGGCGAAAAAGACGAAAATTGATCGTATAATTGGGTTTTGCGTCTTAAGTGAAAGACCCTTTTAATTTTAGAAACAAAAGCCGACAAATAGAAAAAATGTATGTAATAAGGTTATAGCGAAATTTAAACATGACCAGCTTTGAATAGCTAATATATAGCTTCATGGTTTGTGTCCTACGGCTCTGTTGCACACAGGTTCATAGCGACTGCTGCCCAGTGGCTGTTGTGCCCAATTGTTACTGGGTGCGCTTAGTTGAAGTGATATAACGCATTTTTCTTCGCTGTCACGACAGGTGGATCAAAAATCACTGGGGATGAAAACAAAGGATTTGGGACTTTTTCAGCTCAGCTTATTATCTGGACTATGGGATTGTTGTTTTCTTCCAAAGACTTCTGTAAACAGCTCTTGTATAAATTTCCACATAAAACACCCATCTACAACACAGAAAAGGAATCATAATAAACTGTGATGTAAATGTTGCTATATTTAGCAGATGAATGGGAATGCCCTTTAGTAGCATGTCATGTTTAAATCTCCATGAATTGAGTGTTTCCTTATTTTAACATGCTTAAAGAAATATACAAAACACAAATTTAAATACCATAATTATAAAATCTGTTTCCTAGCTGGTGCTAGCAAATTACAACAAAATAAAATAATTAAAAAACAGAACACTTCAATTTGATTGCAACATTTTGCATTGCAGGAGTTTGCTGAGCTTTATTTACCATTAGAGGGGGATTGAATAAAACAGTAAGTGTTCTTCATGGATATGGCCATTCTAATATAAGTTTCTAAATAGGTGTTTCTACAGCCAATCTGTTAGATTTAGGACAAAAGGAGTTTGATCCTTTTTTTATTTTGCTCCTGGTTGGTGAAACCTCATATTCAGCTGTGAACTGCTATTCCTGTCATAAAGCCAGGGAATCTCACACATGATCCTTCTCTCATTAGCCATTTGGCAGAGGATATAGTGAACAATCAATTACGTCAGATTATTAGCCTGTCTAATAATTGAATCAAGCTGTCAGTGGAATAATGGATTCACTGATCACAGGGCTGCACAAAGCAGTGTTCTGTCTTTCTATAAAAGACACTGCAAGATGGCACTGCAATCAATAGTTCTTCAGATTTTAATCAGATTCCTATAGGCACAAATTAGACAAAAGGTATAGGCAATGTCTTGTTCTAAAGCCACTTCCATTCTGCTGGAGTTCTACATGTATGAGCTATGTATTATATATTTTGCTTTGGCTGGAAGTACAGGCAAACATCAAACACTACCACTGTTGTCATAAATAACACTGACAGTGACAGTTCAGTAAAGGTAAAAATGATGTGCATTTTTCTCAAAACAAAAGATTTAGAATACAAAGATTATATTACAGAACTCAAACTTGAAAAATGGTTTCTGAGGTCTTTAGCGTAGGTGTAAATGTCAGTGCTCTTTAAATTTTTTTTTCAGCTTTTGTTTTGTCTTATGAATCAGAAAAGATGTGGCATTTTAAACCGTAAACCAGGACTTGTCAAATTAATGTCCCATTTTATGTAAGTAATCTTTCTAACACCTTTACATAGACATACTGATATGGAAGCTATTTTTCATAGTATGATGATGTATTTTAGATTTTAAAACAGATTTAATGTTTCTGAAATAATTTGGATGCAATTTATCTATCCGTCTGTCATTTAAATGGATTGAACCACAATTATTTAATGGAAAAGTGTAATTATAATTTCCAAATGTAACTCAGCATCAGCCTGTTTCTTATGAAGAAGAGATCAAGCATCTGAGTGTTAAAGAGCATTACAAGACCCTTGTAACATGTCAGTATTTCATTAAAAATGTTTGCCAAACCTTTGGTGTCCAAAGACACATTAAAAAGTAACTGCAAATTGCAGGCTGAGAATGCAAAGTTTGAAATTGCTTTATTTGACTAAAGGATCAAAGAAAGTGGAGTCTGATAGAAATAATCTAGATATTGTATTTTTCAGAGTTTGTAAAGAAAATCTTCAAAACTGGAATGGAAGAAAGACAGCTCACTGTCTAAGAGACACTTTCTTAACTCCTATACCATTGATCAGTCAAGCAGATACCTGAATAAGAAAATCCCTATTTTATTGAATTTTGTAAAACTGAGCTGAATCACTTATTCAGATCGCTTATCAAAAACAAAATAATTTAACTCAATTTTTTTTTTATCTTTGAACTACCTTCACTGGAGTCTTTGGAAAGCACCAGGGGAAAAAAAAAAAACAATAGTAGCAATGACAAAAAGAGCACTGAACATTTTAATTCCTTAGCACAATTTGCATATTGTTTAAATTAACCTGTATGTTTCAACATTGCCTCTTTAGATGAAATCACTTGGTGACTCACTCCCAAGGCATTCTGTCAGCTTTAAAATCATCATTATCCAATTATAATGAAAAAAAAAACATATTCTAAAGAAAACTGATGAATAATTCAATATAAAATGTGTTTTTAAGAAAATCTGAGCAGTATTTTTGATACTCTATTTCCAGCTCTTTTGAAAAAATCAGTTAATTACTTTCACCTTGCTGATGGAAATGTACTCACATGTAAGTGCCTTTAAATGTATCATTTTCACCTGTGATAAAGTAACAAAAAGTAAATATTGCCTCCAATAAATGCTTATTAAATTAAATATCTTTAATATAATTAATCATTTTAATATATAATACTGTGTAATAAAGTATAATGGTATACAGTGCCACGCCACCAAAGAAACACTGAAACTAACAATGATTGTAATTAGCAAGGAAAAATATGTATTGTGTTTCACATACATTGAAGAGCTATATTTAATTTACTTGATAGTAAAAAAATCAAGTATTCAATGTGCATACATTGATTACTAATGATTTGTTATATCTATGTTTTAACACATCTCTTTTGAACAGACAGTTCAGACATTTGATTAGGGACTTCCCACATTTATAGTGATGGAAATAATTTAATATTAAAAAATTCAGTAGTTATAATAAATTACTATGATAGCATACACTGAAAGTGCAAGACATTTACACAATGAGTTTTTGTATGCAAAATAAGGCATCTTTTAATTCAACTCAAGCAAGTTGGTTTATATATAGACAATATATATATGTTTATCACCTGTTTTAGAAAGCTCTTTTGACAAAGTTGTGTTAAGTTAGGATTGAAACAATAAGATAAGAAAATGAAAGGCAAAGAGATGAGGAAACACAAGAAACAAAAAAATGTTAATATGAAAATATAAAAGTAAAAGAAGAAGGATGACTATAAATATACTGTATGACTGGGCTCAAATTAAGATTATCTAGGATTATGATTATGAAAATAACTGTAAAGAAGATCTGAGAAGAAATAGTTTATTCATGTTATATACTGTAATTGTAGGAAAACAATTGACATTTTACTGTATTTCCCAGAATCATATTATTATATTACATGTGTAGTTGACATTACTGTTAATGCAAGCCTTGATAAATCATTGAACTGAATACAAGGCAACTCTTTCCAAAAGCAGGGGACAAATGGACCCATTGGCTGGTAGGTGATATAATCAAATACTAGTTGAGATATACTGCTCCCATTAATTGAAATGAAAGAGCCCGCTGGCCTAAAATCTGAAACTCAGATCCCATATGGAAGAGCCTGCTGCTCCAGTGTTATCAAGTAAATAGGATTCTCTCCTGAAGGGATATATTTAATGAAGGACTGGTCAAGAATGAATCTGAAAATGGTTGTTTTAAGATGACCAAACTGATAGTATGAGAGACATTGTCTAACTGTGCCTCATTTATTGATATAAAGGAACATTTTTGTGATCTATAATAATATACACAGTAAATATGGCACAGGCATTAAAATGTCTTAGTTATTCATTAAATTGATTAATGAATTCAAAGGACATATCGGACATAAACTAATTTAGTACTCACCCATGATGGCTGCTCTCTCCCTACAGGTACATGTTAAAAATCAATGCATAAGAATTACCCATTTAAAACTGTAAATATATAACATTTATCCTTAGCTCAAGCTCCCAGTAATCAAAGGCTAAATCAATACACGCGTTTGCATGGAACTGAAAGTAAGCAATAATTTT